GGTTGTACTTCAAAAAGTCTTGATGCAGTTACACGACCCTATTAGAGGGAAGAACAAAACATTTTGTGTTACGGCTGAGTTATAAAATAATGTAAACATGTTATGGCTTAGCTATATAAATAACGACTGATTTATAATCATGTTATGGCTTAGTTATATAAACAATAATCATGTTATGGCTTAGTTATATAAACAACGACTGAGTTATAATCATGTTATGGCTTAGTTATATAAATAACTTATGTAACGTGATCAGTTACCTCTAACAGTTTTTCAACACCTCGTGAGAGTGTTGTTAGCTGTGATTTCGCATCCTCTCTCCGTTCAGCAAACCATCTAGTCATCATATTCCGTATGGATTCTAACAGTCGAACTATGGGAAGACTTCTACAATTTGATAGTGCTTTGTTCATAGATTCCGCAATGTTCGAAGTCATTAGGTTGTACCTTTCACCCGGGAAATGAACACGCGCCCACATTTGCACCCCAGCTCTTTCGAGATATCCATGTAGTTCAGGATGAAGCGCTTCAATCTCATTGAATGCTTCTGTAAAATCAGCCATCCGAAAACACCTAGTAGCTTTTTTCACAAGTGGGAACAAATGTTTCCCTTTGAACTTCACCAATATGTTCTTGTACAAATGATAAGTGCAAATTCCACGAGAAGCCAACGGATACACTTCACCAATTGCTTTCCCTATTGACTTATGTCTGTCCGAGATGATCGCAAGATTCCTCTCGTCTGGAATAGCAACTTTGAGTTGTGTAAAAAACCAACGCCAAGAATCATCATTTTCAGTGTCAACAACTGCGAAAGCTATTGGGAAAATTTGGAAATTTCCATCCTGAGCTAGGGCTGTTAGAAGCGTCCCTTTGTAACTACCGTGTAAAAACGTACCATCCACAACAACAACTTTCCGCATGTAAGCAAACCCAGCAACACTCGCACCAAAAGCAATGAAGACATACTTGAATCTGTCACACTCGTCAATTTGAAGACGCGTTATTGTACCCAGATTTGCCCGTCTTATCGTGTATAGGTAGGAAGGCAATTCTGCAAAACTTCCCTCAGGAGTTCCCATATCGATCTGTCTTGCAAACCTTAGCGTCTTGTATGACTTCCTATAATCCATCTGTTGGCACCAACATAAAAATAAGTCAGCCGTAACTATATATAAGTCAGCCGTATCGTAATGATAACTCAGCCGTAAATATATATAAGTCAGCCGACACATAAATGAAAACTCAGCCGTATCTCAATGATAACTCAGTCGTAAAGGAAAGAAAACTAAATGAAACTCAGCCGTATCGTATTGAGAACTCAGCCGAAAATAAATAAACTCAGCCGTATCGTAACGAAAACTCAGCAGTGACTGAAATATAAATCAGCCGTGACATTGCAATTACCTTTATGCCAAAATGCTTACTGATGATTATTCCAACACTTTTAGGTTTAACTAACGGACCAATGTCACCAAGAAAGTCCCTGTAAAGAGGTCCCAAAACATCAGGTGTAGCTTGTTTGGATCGATTTGATCTCTCCGTCACAGAACATGTGTGTACCGAATCGTATATACGAACAACAAAACCAGGCTGATCTCCTTCTTGATATGCACGAACTCTCCAAAGACATCCTTCAACCCAGCACTTAATATTCACTATAGTCGTATTTGATTTTGGTACTGAAAAATCAAATCCATCTCTCACTGCAAGAAGTTTAACTCGTTTCTCCAACTCGTCTTTGTTCGCGTATCGTTGTCCTACGACGAGGTTTAGCTTAGCCATCTCCACCGTTAAAGACTCCGAGTTCCCAATCGATCCTACTTTGCCAAAGTAATGACCTCTGTTTTGAGTAGCAGCCGGTAAATCTTCATCTTTCTCCTCACGCTCGCCGTATATAGTAAAGTTATCATCGTCAGATGACGCACCATCGGAGTCGTCGAATACGTCAAATCGGGTTGAAAACTCGTCATCTTCTTCTTCATCCTCTGATTCGTACTTTGCTTCATCTTCTTTGGCTTCATCGTCTACGTTTTCACTATAATCATAACAGAAACCATCAAATCCTCTTGCGTCTTCATATGTATATTCTACTTCTGAAGCCGAACTGCGTGGCCGTTTCGTCCTTGAATTCAATCCGTCCTTCAACTTCGCGAACTCAACACAAAGTCGTGGCTGATCAATTGCAAGGAGCACAGATAATTCTGCAATTGTCGATCGTTTGAGACATAAACTGGAGGAGTATCATGCGACATATGTTTCATATGTTTGTACGAGAGCATGTAGCTCATCGTCACCTTGTGGCTGAGTTGATGCAGTCCGTAGTCATCAAGAACCAATTTCACTAGCTTCTCGTGCGTTGTTTCCGCATCTATTTGCACAATTCTACAACCTCTATCGTCAGTGTTAAATACATATTTTTGTTTCTTTACCCAGTTACCAGACACAACAATCACTGGAACTGGATGATCCATCAACGAAAATGAAGAACAGAAGTGAAAATGCAGAAAAGAAGTGAAGAACAGAATTGATAATGAAGAACATAAGTGAAAATGCAGAAAAGAAGTGAAGAACAGAATTGAAAATGAAGAACAGAAGTGAAAATGAAAAACAGAAGTGAAGTGATTCCCAGAAAATGAAGAACAGAGTGTAAGAAAAACACGAGCTAATGCGGGACCTTTCGTATTTCCCTCGTTTATGCTGACGTGGAATTGTGAATTTGAAGTCGTAAGTCAGCCACCAAACAACTTTGTAACTCAGCCAACGATAAATCAGCCATCAAAACAAATTAAGTCAGCCACAACATGAAAAATATTTAAGTAATTACTAAAATGTTTTTTAAGATGCCAAATTCAGCCGTAACGTCAATAAGTCAGCCGTAACGTAAAATAAGTCAGCCGTAACTGGAGGTTATATTAGCAATAAATCTTTTGTCTATAAGTCAGCCGTAACATGGTTGAGTTTTCCGTTAACTCAGCCAGTTACGACTGTGTTATGTCTCTGAAACATAAGTCAGCCGTAACGACATTTGATAACTCAGCCGTTGTCGATAACTCAGCCACCCGGAGAAAGTTAAGTCAGCCGTGTCGATAACATAACTCAGCCAAACTTCTGATAACTCAACCATCGGACTATAACTCAGCCGTAACGGCGGCTGAGTTATTAGCCATTTTCTCATAACTCAACCAGATTTTTATAATTCAGTCGTAACTGTTGGCTGAGTTATGATCCTAAGTTAACCGTTGACCCGAAACTCAGCCGTTGTCCCATAACTCAGCCATAACGTGATATAACTCAGCCGTAACGTACGTTATGGCTGAGTTATTGGTGGCACGCGCCTTTTTGTCTGACGTGGCAGTGGCATTTTCCGTAATTAGTTTTTTCCGGTAACGTGAAAAAAGGGCACGCTGGTAATTAAAAAACATTTAAGGATAAAAAAAAGTTTTGGATGGTTTGCGTCAATACACCTAACATGTGGTCCATCTAAGTAATTCTTTCTTAATTTCTCACAACATTTGGGTAATCTCTAATAAACCCGTCCTAAGATAAAGCATTATATCTTTGGGTAAAAATAGATACGATCCATACATCTTTTTACTTTGCATTTCTGAAGCATATCGTGATATTCTCAGCACATAGGGACATCATCAAAGTGTCACGTACCTGAATAAGTTCCCCATCTATTAAGTTATCCATCTTGTCTATTTCAACAAATAAGGTACTTCTTCTTGAACTCCTAGAAAGATTCATGTGTAGCTCTTCAACATCATCAATAACAGTTCAACAAGTGGGTGCACATCTTTAATTGTTTTCCGAGATATTAGCATATACACCTACTTTTTAACTAAATAATATCATCTACACCTAATTTATGCTACCCAAATACTTTTATAACTAGGATGTACTTAATTGGGATTTTTTTTTTTACATAGTGAAATTTAAAAGCTTGAGTGGTCGAGATTACTTGCTGATTTTAAAGGATTAATTGTTTTCGAAAGCTTTGTCTTGGTTTTAGTTGATTGGGATTTCTTCTTCTTGCGTATTCAAGGCATGTGAGCAAATCTTCGTTGAAGAGCTTCACTTCCACAAACGTTTTCACGCAAGTAAAGCAATGACGGTGAAGGCATGCGTCATTATTTTGATCTACTTTAGTTTTCGAGTATTGTTGTCAAATCTCATTTCTTTTTAACATTAGAGAGAGAGTAGAGACAAAAAAAAAAAACCATGCGATTGACTCAACATTCCAGAGCTTTTGTAATCAGAGATTCATATATGATATCACCATGGGCTTTCATTATCAAGATTGCAAAAATGTTATTTTTGATGTACTAATTCAAAAAATGTTCTTTACTACATCAATGAAAGTCGACCACACACACAACACCGGCTTATTTCTTCCACAAAAAAAAATCGCAACAACAAATGGGCACTTCAATCATAATCCCGTTCTTCCCCTCCCCATTTTTTCTATAAATTATTTTCACCAATTATTTTAGTGGATTTTACAAGAAAAACGCTGATTTCCTATGGGCAATAGCGTGAAACATTGGTAGGAAACAGCTGTTTCTTACGATATTCCTACGATAGGAAATCGCTTGTAGGAAATCGTAGATGGTAAGATATTGGTAGGAAAATTTCCTACCAAAAACGCGCCGAAGGAAAATTTCCTACCAAAAACGCGCCGAAGGAAAATTTCCTACCAAAAACGCGTCGAAGGAAAATTTCCTACCAAAAACGCGCCGAAGAAAATTTCCTACCAAAAACGCGCCCAAGGAAATGATTTCTTTCTAATTTCTTACAAAAGTCTTTCCTTCTAATTTCCTAACAAAAGTCTATTCATTCCAATTTCCTACGAATATTTTTGCTCCAATTTCCTACAAATTTTTCTTCAACTTTCTTTTAAAAGTATTTCGTAGGAAATACTAAATATTAAATAAATTTCATAATTCAATTTTAAATCGTTTATAAATTGTAAAATTGACAAAAAAAAATATTTAAAATGATGAAAATAACAGAGAATTATATATAGAAATGTCAATGTAATACAAACAAAATGTTGCTAAGCTTAAATATCAATGTCATACAAACAAACAACCTAAAATCCTAAAAATGTTCAAGTTTTTAAAATAATCAGATATCATTACTCTTGCAAACCATAAACCATCAATTGGGTCTCATCAATTGGGTCTCATCGTCGTCATCTTCAGGGATTGTCAGAGTAGGTGGTCGGTTCGTGAGGTAGACGAGCATCCTTCATCCAATCAAGTACGAAGGCCATAACATCGTTCTCTAACCTTTGGAACAACCTGTGAAACAAAACCAGAAATCAATATCGTTGTTGAATGTTTGTAAAAGCAAATCTTAAAGGGAGGAAGAGAATTCCTACTTACTTTACGCATGATAGAGTTAATCTCCTCAGGTGTAAGACGGTTAGACTGAACCGTGTCATCTCCTTCGGTTTGGCGTTGCGATTGGAGGAGCTCTAACTCACTTGTTGCCTTCTCGATATACATTTTTGTCTTCAAGTCACTTATTGTGCGTCTCTTCTTATCTAAGTGTGGAACAGTGAATCATATTTGGCTCTTCTCCTAGTTCACTTGTCTTACACATGACAAACAAAAGAAAAAAAGATTCATTAGTCAATCTTGTGCACTTAAACGTTAAACAATGGTTACAAACCAGAAATATTTGTTTACATAAGTTAAACAATGGTTAAAATCATAACGACAGTTCACAAGTGTGAATTAAACAAAGACTTGTGACATGAGTTACAAAAACCTTAACAAGAATCATGACTCTTCAAACCAATTGTTAAAAAAGCAAGCGTGTACCAGATTATTGATAAAGTGTACCAATTGTTAAAAACCATGTAGTTTAACAACGTTAAAAACCAACCATGATCAACTCCTTTAATGTATGCTAACATGATTTGATAAACGTATGCTTAATGTATGCTTACATGATGGTTAGATGATTATGATTATGATTCATGACTAGCTTCAAAAATGTTAAGTCGTTAAACAAATGTAAATAATAAAATTTGAACTATTAAGCATATAAATCAAACGTGTATGCATCATGCATGAGTTACTTTACTTGTATGCATGAGTTGTAAGACCAAACGTGTATGCATGAGTTGTTAAACCAAACGTGTACCAGATACAAGTGTATGCATACTAGTTGAGATTCATGTATTACTTGTAAAACTGAAAAAGCTAATAACGAGAAGTGTCTTACCCATCATAGACAGGCACATCAATTTTCCCCACCCGGTGAAGCCCCTAACACAGCAATTCACTTAGTCAGTCTGCTCTCCTTTTACATATAATCTCAAATAAGAAATGAAATTACCATTGCTAGGATGCAAGCTGTTACCCCAGTCCCACACGAGGCCATAATAGGCTTGTCCAGTGAGATACATGCACCAAAAAGCCTTGTAATCGTACGACTGCTGTATATTAACTAAGATTGTGAACCTCATTCTTGAAGTGGAGATGATGATGTAATAGTTTACCTGCTTGTTCAAATCTTTGTTTTAGCTCTTCTGCTGGTAACAGTGTATTAGAAGAATCAAACATCTGCAGAAAGAAGAAATTTATCACATTAACTCTAGGGCAAGATGCAGGGGAAGTGACGGATGGAAACAAATTCTCTAGGGTGGCTTTACTTGAGGAAAAGGGACGCATTTGCTTCCAGGTATATGACCGCTTCTTATTCCCTTACGGGGGTTCAGGAGCAGTACCATCAAACCTGTGTAAACCCATAAAATAATCAAAATGCTACATTGAGTATCAATTTAGTACAAAGGGAAAAATTTCTTAAATTCCTTGGCAAATCATCAGTCCACACAAGTAATAACTAATTAAATTATATTACCTGGCTTTGGAACGAGCGTCTATGTGTTGATAAGTCGGATCCTCCATATTGTTCTCGATCTTCAGAAGGCTAGCTCCGCCGGTGAACAGAAGGATAGCGCCGCCGGTGAAAAAAGGATAGCTACGCCGGTGCAGCAATGTGCGGCGAAATCGTTAGGTGAGTTTGTGAGAAATGGAGTGGTTTAAATCGTGAGGTGGGTAGAGAAGAGAGTTGAACGGCGGTGTGGGAGATGATGTTAAGTGTTTAGGGTTTGTTATTTTTCTTAATAGATCAATATATGGCCCGTTAACTAATTTGCTGGCCCAATTTTATTTCTTAAACCAATTTTTTAATGTTATAGGCCCAAATTAAATTGTGAAAGTAATAAATTTATAATAGTTTTACAAAAAAAAATGATTTTAATAATTGAAAATTTAATATAATTTTACTGTTAATGTGTGGGATTATAAATGAAAATTAAGATTAGATAACAATGTATTTTAAAATTGAAAATTTAATATAATTTTACTGTTAGTGTGAGAGATTATGAATGAAAATTAAGATTATAATAGTTTTAGAAAAAAAAAACTTTAATTGGAAAATTTAAAATAATATTACTGCTAATTTGTGGGATTATGAATGAAAATTAAGATTATCAATCAATACTATAAACTATACATAAGGAAAATATTTTCAAAATTGGAAACGATTTAGAAATTTATTTTAACAACAATATAGAATTAACCTTCTAATTTCTTACCAAAATCTTATAAACCAGTTTTCCTATAAAATTCCTATAAATACTTTTCCTTCGACTTTCCTTCAAAACAATTACCTTCCATTTCTCTTCAGTTTTCCTACGCTATTACCTACAAACTTGTAGCTGAAGGAATTCGGTAGGAAATTTTCCTACGAAATTCCATCTACGCTTTTTCCTACATTATTCTTCTCCCTTTCCTTCAAAATTTCAAACGAAAATAATATTTATATGAATTTGGTAGGAAACTTTCCTTCCACTTTTTGACACGCTTTTTCGTAGTTAAATTACTTCTTTTTTCCTTCCCATTATTATTTGGTAATAAATACGAAGTTTTTTTGTAGGAAATTTTTCCTTCCAAACAGTTTGTAGGAATTTTTGTAAGAAATCAGCATGTTTGCTTGTAGTATATTGGGATTTCTTCTTCTTGACTACTGAGGGGCAAAAGTCTTTTTTTTTTTTTTTGTCGTCACTAAAATCGTTTTCTATGTGAAGTTATAGAGCCGATAAGCTTAGGGGGTGTATTTTAAAATCTAGCTTTATTTAGTGACGCATTTTGAAAAACAAAATATGCTGTTATCGGATTAAACATTTGTTTGAAGTATTTTAAAGTACTTGTAAAACAAGTGTTATTCAATTTCAATGGATTTTATTTCATTTAAAATTTTAATGTATATTACATTAAAACACGTACAAACACAATCCAAACATTTTTTAAAGTAAAATCTTCTCGACGTCAACTACCATTTAGTCACTGTCCAAAACCTAACCGACTCGATCACCGTCACCCACAAAAACCCAAGAATATTTAGACGTATGCTACCTAGCTACAGTGCTCATCTCCAACGACAACTTGGAGTAAGCGTCATCGTGGATCCCAAACAGCTCAAGTTCAACAAAACTAGGAAGGTGAAGATGTTTAAGATGACTCTAAGTCCCAAGTCACGATGCCTTCTGGTTATGTCTTCGACAAGTTGACGTGGCCTGATTCACCTATTTTCCTGCTCTGTATTGTTAAAACCACCGTTCCAGTTTAGTTAGCTTAACCAACGTCCATCGGTTAGGAGAAGCCATAAACTTTTAAAATAGTTTCAGATTGATCAAATCAAATCTTAAAATATCTTAAACTTAACTAAAATCTTAAATTTTGTAACAGTAGTTGCGTATTGGATAGAAGTTTTTTTATAGATTTTATCCTACAATAAATATGTATTTATATTATTTTAGATTCTATGTTTTGATAACAAGTGATTGACCACTCTCCCTCATTCAAGTTGTTGGTGCCACAAAAATAGCCAACCTCATTCAACTTGTTGAACTCTCTTCACGTTTAGGTGCCACTAAACGAGGACACTTATTTAAAAGGGATTTTTAGCTGGCATACCATCATCTGAAAAAAGGTTTTTCAGAATACCATTTTCTGATGGGTCTTAGCCCAACTACCATTTTCCATTTTTTTGGACGTTTTTACCCTGTACTACACCACCTGCAATTAACCCAGACGTGGGACTGTGGACAGAAAATTTATTCCAAAAAATGTTAAAGTAAAGAAAATATCAGCTCCAATTAAATACAAAAAGAAAAAAGGAAAAATGGTTATTTCGATTATATGGAAAAAAACAAAACCTTTCCTCTTCCTTTTTACCCTACCCACCCGTAACAATCTACACTTTTCCTCTAACACCATTCGTTTCTTTTATTTTCAATTATTTTCTTGTTCACAACCTCCTCGAAAGCGACCCAAGTGGTAATGTTTCTATGATTCTCTAGTACAATCTTGTTCAAAGTTTTTGCCTTATCTAAATAGATAATGTCCATAATAATTGATCTGTTGTCCACACATATAGATTCAGACATGGACGATTCTGAACAAACCGACCAGTCAACCCGTTCGACTGACCTCCTCCGCATGTCTACGAGCTCCCTCCATACTACTCGGCAAACGGTGGGTGATTGTTACATTTAACAGATTTTGATTTTCAGTAACACAAAGCCGGAAATCAGATCTACAAAAACGCTAAGCATTTTTTCTTCTTTTTTCAGCCCTCGGTCAACCCAAGAGGTCAATCCTCCAACCCATCTACGGGTGATGCTAAGAAGACCAATCGTCGACAATCGGTTAGTTCTATTATTGTTTCGAATCTTGTCTCCACCAGTATCAACCATATCAATCTGAAACTATTTTAATCTTTCGCAATTACAGCCACGCCTAAGGCAAGCCGGCCAAACTGCAAACCAAACTCCCCTGCAAAGAAGTACAAGAGCGGTGAACATCAGTTCCATACCCGAGCAGGTTCTTTTCTTGTCCACTGACCAATTGGTGTCCATTTCGACAAATACATTGTCCACAATTATGTCCGATTTTTTCCATATACCTAATGTTATGTCCATATTACTCTGTAGCGGTTACCTACTGTGCAGGAAGAACCCTCCTCTACGACTCTCCATCCATGAAGTGCCCCTACAGTGGTACCTCAATTTCTCCAAGAAAGGGTTTTTGCTACGGACAGGTACCCTCAGAAGGGTCGGATCAATTCTTACTCAAAACCAGAGTATCTCCTGGACATTGTCGATGTCCTTGATGGTACGCAGGAGTTAAAAGCAATACGAGAATCTCCATTTGGTCCTTTATTGGACTATCCGGTCCGCAAGTCGTCTCTATCCGGTAAACGTGTCCACAATATATTATGTCATTCTCTGCATACGGAGAAACAACACGAAATATGGTCCGTCTTTGGTGGTCAACCCATCAGATTCTCCCTTAGAGAATTTGCGCTCATTACTCGGCTTCCGTGCGGTCCTTTACCGCCGGAAGTAAGTGTACATATTTACATAAAAGAAATTGCTATTAATTCGTACATAATATAATTTGTATTAATCCGTTATAACCTTTTTCCTGCTAATAACAGGGAGTATTGTATTGATGGACATCCAGTGAAGAAGAGCTTCTTTGTTGAGATATATACTCCACAGAATTGGGTAGAAACTTCGGTAATTTTATGGGAATTGTTATTCTTTTGAACAAATTGGTTTTTTTCCCTTTCCTAATACTCAATTACTAATTTTGGTAGCACATGGAAGCTATGCTAACTCTAGTTTGGTCAAAGCTCGGTCAATCATTCATGGACATGAGGGTGGCCGTCTTGGATATATACTTCTGTAGTATGTTATGCAATGAGTACAACGGATTCAAAAAACGTGACAAGCGAGCTCCTTACAGTTGGAATAGTTTGTGCAAGAATTATGCTAGGGGGATTGTTCCAAGCCGGTCTGATTACTTGATGTGGTTTGATAAGGTGGACAGAGTATACCTACCTATGAATTGGGGGAAGAGACATTGGGTTACTCTCGTCATTCATCTTTACCAGGGTAAAATTGAGATTTTAGATCCTCTAATTGTGAACAACGACCAGAAAAGGATGACCAGGTTCATGAAGCCAATAGAGGAGATGCTCCCAGTCTTTATAAAAGACATCTTTGGTGATTGTGGACAGTTTGATCTGCCAAAGTCTTTCACTTATGGTGGTGAATGTTGCCCAAAATGACCGTACTGGTGATTGTGGTCCATTTTCGGTCAAGTTCATTGAGCACCATGCAAAGGGTCTGCAAATGGATGATATAACAGAGGAGATGGTGGACAACTTCAGGATGAAGTACGCCATTGATGTCTACGAAAGATTTGTTTGCTGAAAATTTGTCTCTCTCATCATCCCAAACTTGTTGCCTTTCGTGTTGCAAACATATTTTATGTCAACTTTTGACATCTTTTGTCCCTATGGTTGTGGTTTTCCCATGAATACTTAGGATATACTGTCCACGGTTTGTTAAACATCTTCTGTTATGGATGGTTGTTGTTTGTCCACTTGCTTTATAATATTTGCTGTCCTTTTATTGCTATCTGTTTTTTATTGTTTGATTTCCTCTAAATGATTGTCTCAAATGGTTTACGTTAATTATTTTAAATCGAAAAAACTCAAAGCTTCTGGTTTTAAACCATTATTATAACCTAAGTACATACTTCAAAACTCAAATCAGTCTATAACAAACGGATTATAAATTAATTTGAAAAATGACCCACATTCTTTATAGATTTAGATTGGGTTGTTCCACATGTACTTAGGGTATAGTAAATCACAAAAAAAAAAACAAACCAATTCTACAAAATTCTTTTAAGATTTAGATTGGGTTGATAAACATGTACTTAGGGTATAGTAATTATCACAAAAAATAAACCAAATGGACAAGAATTTTCAACAAGACTGACATTCTTTATATATTTAGCTTCGGTTTATTGACATGTACTTAGGGTATAGTAATTCTCTCAAAAAACAAACCAATTCTAAAAGAAATTTCAACAAGCCCCACATTCTTTAAAGAACCAGATTAGGTTGATAAACATGTACTTATGGTATAGTAATCCACACAAAAAACAAACCAAATGGACAAGAATTTTCAACAAGACCCACATT